GTGTACCCAGGGCCGCGGAGGCGCAACTGGGGTGTGCACACACGTGTGCGCGCACATATATGTGCTGATGTGTGGCTGTGTGTGCACACACACGCGGCCTGATGTGTGTCTGTGTGCATGCGTATATGGCCTGATGTGTCTGTGTGTGCATACATATAAGGCCTGATGTGTCTGGGTGCACATGTATACGGCCTGATGTGTGTCTGTGTGCACGCGTATATGGCCTGATATGTCTGGGTGCACACGTATACGGCCTGATGTGTGTCTGTGTGCACACGTATATGGCCTGATGTGTCTGTGTGTGGGGGGCCCACGTATATGGCCTGATGTGTCTGTGTGTGCATGCGTATACGGCCTGATATGTCTGGGTGCATGCGTATACGGCCTGATATGTCTGGGTGCACGCGTATACGGCCTGATGTGTGTCTGTGTGCATGCGTATATGGCCTGATGTGTGTCTCTGTGCACACATATACGGCCTGATGTGTGTCTGTGTGCACACATATATGGCCTGATGTGTCTGTGTGTGCATACATATATGGCCTGATGTGTCTGGGTGCACATGTATATGGCCTGATGTGTGCATATGCACACACATGTACGGTCTGATGTGCCTGTGTATGCATATGTATACAGCCTGATATATCTGTGTGCCCATGTATATGGCCTGATGCATGTGTGCACACATGTATATGGCCTGATGTGTGTGTGCCCATGTATACGGCCTGATGCATGTGTGCACACATGTATATGGCCTGATGTGTGTGTGCAGCTCCATGTACAGATCCTGCCCTCTGTGTTCAGCTGTGTGCTGCCGACCTGTGCTTGTAGATTGGTGGGCAAATGCCAGCGTGCAGATGTGTTTGCACGTGCAGATGTGTCTCTGCGTGCAGGTGCGCACGCAGGTGTGTGTGTGTGCGCTGATGTGTGCGTGCTGACGTGTGCAGTTGCGTGCTCGTTCATGCTGATGTGTTTGGGGATGTGCGTGGAACCCGCTGGGGGGTGGGTGTGTGAGCGCGTGCCAGATGTGTGTGTACAGATGTGTGTGCAGATGCACATACAGACACCTGGAGAGACGCCTGTGGGGCTGCGTGGGTGCGGAGGTGTGCCGATGCGTGTGTGCAGGCCGCGGATGTGCAGATGTGTGCACACAGAGCTACGCGTGTGTGTGCACACACACGCGGCCTGATGTGTGTCTGGGTGCATACATATATGGCCTGATGTGTGTCTCTGTGCACATATATGGCCCGATGTGTGTCTGTGCGCACACGTATATGGCCTGATGTGTCTGTGTGTGCATACATATAAGGCCTGATGTGTCTGGGTGCACATGTATACGGCCTGATGTGTGTCTGTGTGCACGCGTATATGGCCTGATGTGTGTCTGTGTGCATACATATACGGCTTGATGTGTCTGTGTGTGCATACATATATGGCCTGATGTGTCTGGGTGCACATGTATATGGCCTGATGTGTGCATATGCACACACATGTACGGTCTGATGTGCCTGTGTATGCATATGTATACAGCCTGATATATCTGTGTGCCCATGTATATGGCCTGATGCATGTGTGCACACATGTATATGGCCTGATGTGTGTGTGCCCATGTATACGGCCTGATGCGTGTGTGCACACATGTATATGGCCTGATGTGTGTGTGCAGCTCCATGTACAGATCCTGCCCTCTGTGTTCAGCTGTGTGCTGCCGACCTGTGCTTGTAGATTGGTGGGCAAATGCCAGCGTGCAGATGTGTTTGCACGTGCAGATGTGTCTCTGCATGCAGGTGCGCACGCAGGTGTGTGCGTGTGCGCTGATGTGTGCGTGCTGACGTGTGCAGTTGCGTGCTCGTTCATGCTGATGTGTTTGGGGATGTGCGTGGAACCCGCTGGGGGGTGGGTGTGTGAGCGCGTGCCAGATGTGTGTGTACAGATGTGTGTGCAGATGCACATACAGACACCTGGAGAGACGCCTGTGGGGCTGCGTGGGTGCGGAGGTGTGCCGATGCGTGTGTGCAGGCCGCGGATGTGCAGATGTGTGCACACAGAGCTACGCGTGGACACGCGTGAGGATGCCTGCGTGCAGCTGTGCATGTGCAAATAAGCACCTGCGTATGTACAGATGCACGGGCAGATGTGGTTACGCAGAAGTGCCCAGATGTGCACGTGCACAGCTGTGGGCACAGGCGTGTGTCCAGATGTGCCAGCAGAGATGTGCATCCTTACACGTGTGTGTCCAGATGTGCCAGCAGAGATGCGCATCCTTACACGTGTGTGTCCAGATGTGCCAGCAGAGATGCGCGTCC